TTTTTTTTTTTTGTAGGGAATCGTCGAGACTTTGACGGCTAAAGTTGAGGATTTGGACGCTATCGAAACATATCCTCCGCCACTATCACCACAATAGGCTTGTAGATTTTATTATTGTACTTTGTTAATTTATGTGTACATTTTGAATATTATATATATTGGATAATTTGACCACTATTTTTCATATGTAATTTTATTTTGAATATTTCAATTTAAATTAAAGTAATTAAAAAAAAATAAAATCATACAATTAAATTAAATTTAAAAAGTAAAAATTTGAAAAATTAATATAATGAAATTGATATAAGAGAAATAATAAAAAAAAAATGTCAAAAACCTTGGGTGACAAAATATTTCGTCGAGCAAACTATTAAACTAGTTTATTTTAATTTAAATTTTTAAATTTTTTTTAAAAAAAACAAAAATTTAAAAAAATTGAATATTTCGTCGCGCAAAGATTTGCGCGACATTAGGATTCGTCGCGCAAAGCGACATTAACTTTCGTCGCGCAAAGTAATTAATATTCGTCGCGCAAAGTTGATAGTATTCGTCGCGCAAAGTATCTTTTAGCGACGTTAGTATTCGTCGCGCAAAGTTGTTATCGTTCGTCGCGCAAAGTATCTTTGCGAGACAAAAAAAAAAATTTCGTCGCGCAAAACCTTTCTTTACGATCTTTGCGCGACCAAAATTTCGTCGCTCAAACTTTGCGCAACGAAATTGTACTTTGCGCAACAAAATTATTTCGTCGCGCAAAGTGTTTTTTATAGTAGTGTATTATACTCAATATAGGGGCTCACATTATAAAATGAATCCTACATGAAATAGACTTTAGAGCATTTCCACCCTTTTGCCATAAAAAAGGGCAAGGGAAGGCAAGGGTTGTTACTATTCATGTGAATAGTGCCAGCCCTTGCAAAAAGCAAGTTGTGTTTCTACCCATTGCCATGGCAAAGGCCAATTACTATTCACTTTAATTTTTTTTTTTTTTTTTTATAATACTTAAACGATTGATTTGGATAAGATTTTGAATAAGAGAAATCCTAGCTCTTGTTTTGTCTTTGCCCTTCTCTTCGCCAAAAGGTTAAACCAGCCCCTTTCCAAGATTAAATTTGCTCACACGTCAATTTACCCACGCTTGGGCAATCGTCAAACTCCTTGTCATGTCGCACCACATGTACTCGTTATCCCCTTTTTAACTTTCTTTCTTATCACTCTTACTCACCCTCACATTTTAAATTCATTTCCAATATTAGTCGGCCAATGGAACATGATACTTTCACAGAGGTTGTTTCTGATCCACACTGGCAAGAGGCCATGCAATCTGAACTAGCGGCCTTGGAATCCAACCAGACTTGGTCCCTCACTTCTCTTCCTCCCAGGAATCAACCCATTAGATGCAAATGGGTCTATAAAATCAAGCATCACTCCAATGGCACCATTGAGCCCTATAAGGCTTGTCTCATGGCCAAAGGATATACTCAAACTAAAGGTCTTGACTACCATGATACATTTTCTCCTACTGCCAAAATGGTTTATGTTAGATGTGTTCTGGCCCTTGCCGCTGCCCATAACTAGTGTTTGCATCAACTTGACGTCCACAATGTATTCCTTCATGGTGATTTACATGAGAGGAAATTTATATATCACCTCCTCTAAGTCTTCTGCAACAAGGGGAGCATTTGGTATGTCGCCTTCACAAATCCTTGTACGGATTAAAGCAAGCATCTCACCAATGGTTTTCTAAGTTCACTAAAGCCATACAAGCTGTTGGTTTTACTCCATCCATAGCTAATTATTCGCTTTTTACCTGCAAAAATGGCAAGTCATTCTAATCAGTTCACAATTGTATATTATTTTGTACCCTTCTAGCTTATGATTTGGTTATGTTTTTGAGTTGAACCTGTGCTTTTAATCTCTTTTGTGTTTATCATTCAGTTATTTGAGCTTTAGGTAGCAATGGTGGCTTTGGATAGGAAAAATGTAAAATGGTGCAAAAATGTGCAAACTGAGTTAGCAATTCGTTTCGGCCTTAACATCTTCATCCGACCTTAGATTGGTCCAAATGGCATGAAGTTGGATTGGTTCTGTGATAATCTTTCAGCGATTGCTTTGTCTTTTAATCCTGTTCAACATCAACGCACTAAGCATATTGAGGTTGATGTTCATTTTGTGAGGGAAAGGGTTGCAAAGAAACAGCTCTCTGTTCAGTTTGTCTCCTCCAAAGAGCAGTTTGCTGATATTCTGACTAAGGGTCTGAGTTCTCCGCTGTTTCACACTCACTGTCACAATCTCATGCTTTGATCATCCAAGCATGAGTTTGCGGGGGGATGATAGAGTATATAGATTAATGTATAGGATGTTGCCACTTGTCATTAGATTAGAAGGTTGATAGTTAAGGCAGTTAGCTTTGTTGTTAAAGATATATAAAGCCTTAATCTTTGGGTTACTGTTCAATAAGAAATATACGAAGAATTTTCAATCTCTCTCTCTTCTCTTTGAGCTATTTTCTCTCTAAACCCTCTGAATACATTCTCTAGATTTGTTTACATTAACAACAAGGACCTTTTTTTCCTGCTAAAAATGAGATGAAGTTGACGACATACTGTGATTCAGATTGGGCGGGATGTCCAACAACACAGAGGTCAACAAGTGGCTATTGCGTGTTCCTTGGCAATTCTATCGCAAGACATGCAACGTTCCTAGACCCAAAACCAGCTACTTTACACTTTGACAACCAAGCTGCACCGCACATATTTGCCAATTCAGTGTTCCAAGATATACTTCATCTCAACAGCAAGTAGCAAATTGGTAGTTCACAATATTTACTCTTCAACTTAAGGGGGAGTGTTGAGAAGTCAACTAAATCCCAATACATTAGGGATTGAATGATTAGCCAAATTATATGTAATTGATTGCACATGATTTGCTTTCCTTTATTAATCTCTTGATTGTAGGAAACCTGTGCATAAATTCCTTTGACATTGTAAAGAGAAAATATTCCGGTAATGAAATATTCTTCCTTTGATTACAATTTTACAAAATTGATCAAACTTTAGCGAAGTCAAATATGAACAGAGGTACCTGATGCAAGCGGATCGACGGAGTCGGCTCCCATTCAACATATCTTATCCGTTTCAAATGTTCCCCAATGAAAAACGTTGTCCTGAAAAAAAAGTAAAGCCCAAACTTCATCTCGAAAAGAAAGACGTGAAATATGAACATATATTAATATAAAAGATGAAAAGATAGCCACCACTTTTCTCAATGGGCATCTCCAAAAGCAGAAAACTCGGTTGGCCTAGTAGCCATATACCATGATGACTTTCCCTTACCAAGCAAAGTTTTGTCGTTATGGAGCTTTTAATATTCCAGTTTCACACACAAACCCAATAGAGGAATCTCATTTAATTTCCCCACTTTCACACCATAATTAATTAACATATATATATGAGTATTTGTTTTCATATACAAGAATCTTATCTTACATTGAGAGATATCTCAAACTAATAATATGGGGAACACAATTGGAGGAAGAAACAAAGCAAAGGTGATGAAGATCAGTGGGGAAACCTTCAAGGTCAAAACCCCAATAAGAGCATGGGATGTGGTGAAGGACTATCCAGGCCATGTGCTTTTGAACTCAGAAGCTGTAAAGCACTTTGGTGTGAGAGCAAAGCCATTGGAACCACAACAAGACCTAAGGCCCAGGAAAATATACTTCCTAGTCCAACTGCCAAAGTTTCCAGAGGAAGAGAAAAAAGTGCCAAGAAGAGTGCGTTCTGGCATTCAGGTGAGTGCCAAGGACAGGCTCGAGTGCCTGATGCTGTCTCGAAGGTCTGTTTCGGACCTTACGAGTGTCCGAGCCGCGTCTGCCGGCTCGGAAGGTCCGGTCAGGATGAAGGTGAGGGTGCCGAGGGCTCAAATGGTAAAGTTGGTTGAAGAGAGCAATGATGACGTGGAAATTGCTGAGAGGATTATAGAGCTTTATATGGCGAATAATGGTGGGAAGGTGGATGCGGACATGGTGGAGGAGGAGGGTGAACAAGGTGTTTTGCAGCAGCGGAAAGCGGCCGGCCATGGTAGCATCAGAGTCAAAGAGAACCTCAAGCTGCGTCACGAGGTATTATCCCTTTCCTCATTTGTCTGCTTCCTTTCCTTTAACAAAAAAAACAAAGAAGATATTATTTAGTTACTTTTTTTCTATTTTTTAGTGGGGAAAACCATTCGATTCACGTGAAGCACTTGCTAAATAGAAGCACTTACTAAAAATCTGCTTAATTAGAAGCACTTCCTAAATACCAATTTTTTCATAAAGTGTTGTCTGAATAGGCATCTAAAATCCCCAAATTAGATGGGGAGATAAAGTTAAGAGTAATTTTGCATAGAAGTTAAATGAGCTTTAGGAGGAGGATCTTAACAAATGAAACACCATAATCACACATCAATTAGGGTAATACTAGGCTTACCATATTTTTATATCACATTGTGTACCACATTTCTAATAGAAACAGAACCCATCAATACAATGGGACCCACCTCCATTAGAGAGATAGTACAAAATATGGTAAGCCTAACATTTTCCATTCTTTAATACTAATAATACTTCAACAAGTACATGGAAAACGTCACAAGAATATATGGCATTGTTCCTTCTTCCTACCCTAATTAGTTTTTAATACACTCAGATTAGATGGAACTCAAATTTGACTTATGAGGGCTTGTACAGAATTTATATTTTAGTCAACTTTGCCGTTTTGAAAGATACATGGCATTCATTCTTAGATTAATGATGGCATGGAGCTTCACTAGTTTTTTTATTATAAAATATATAATTGTTATTATTAAATAAAAGTTTCCATGTCGTACATGGGGTGGCACCACATTAGAAAAGTGGGTCAAATTCTCCTCCTCCCCTCAAGTGCATCCAGATTCGATTCACGTAGAAGACAATTTTGAGACAACCCAATATAATACAATCCTCTCACCCTCCCTAACAGATGAAAAAAAAAAAAACAAACAAGCCTCTATGTCAACTCCTTAGAATGTAAATGGGGATTTGCACGTGAAATTTCTCATTTTGGGTTGCTATAGACAAATGGTTAGGTGACTCAGAGTTTTTTTATAAATATTTGATCTCTTTTAAGGGTATCCTACACATGATGACTCTAATATTTTAGTGAAGGCTTCTAGATGAGGGGTCTTCTACACTAGGAGGAGCCCTGCAATGAGAAGGGGAAGCGAAACATAGTTCACTCCAAATAGCATTATTCTATCTCACTAGGCAATTTATGCCAACCACAAATGTTTTGGTAGTTGTATAATGCACCGACATGGAAAACTCTCATATCCTCCCACAAATGTTTTGGTAGTTGTATTTTCCCGATCGTTGAAAAATACCAATCACAATTGTCTACGTAGTCTCTTGCTTTATGACATTTTTTTGCATATTAAATACAATGTCATGGAAGCAAAGTAGCCATGGGGAAAGAGCAGTACATTACATCATGGAAGCAAACTATTTTTTTAAAATGCATCTTTTATATTTCATACTCGTGGCATAATATCATTGAATTTGTGAGCTCCTCATACGTGCTACTTCTGCAAACTGAAAGATTCTTTGACGGAATCCATCGGCAGAGACAAATATAATTATTTTATGGTTTTATATGATATGAGTAGTTTACCACATCATGTTGTTGCAGACAATATATCTTACATGAATTATATATGAATTTGCAGAAGCGAGTGAGTTTTGTTCCTGTGGAAGAAGGAGAAATTCGTTTAGATACAGCTCCTCAATAGCAGCCAATCAGAAGTAACAAAAATTGCAATCCACCTTCACCAGGACTTCTTTACTGGTGCGCTTAATTTGTATATATATGAAACATACTTTCTTTTTGCATAGTATGATATTATTTAGCTCCTGTAAAATTATTACTTTGTTAACATCTAGCGGCTCTTGTATGGAAGACGGGTTTTCTGTCTCAAAAGAGCTTCTCTTGTTGTTGGGGATGTATAAATTATAATTTGCCCAATTCAAAAGTGACTCTCAACTCAAATGTGTTCCCGCATTTTTTGTGTAGTGAAAGAGCGATTAGAGAACATGCATACACAATATATATATATATGTATTTACGCATTCTACGTTGTATGCCATCTCTATTGTGGAACGTATGGAGAGAGACAGGGTCGGTCTTGAGTTTTCTAGGACTTGGGGCGAAAATCTAAATTGTGCACCTTTATTACAAAAAAAAAAATTCACAGTAACATTCGAATAGGAACTGACAATAAATTTTAAAAACCAAGATTAATTCAAATCAAAAACAAAATAACATACCTACGTAGAGACTAGAGAATCAGATAGAACCTTAACCTGCTAGTCTCAAACTTGTGACATATATATAATAATAATAAAAACCAATAAACTAGAATTAATTACTCTAAAATTGTAGCTGCACTCTAATAGTTTTAAAGTAAGTACGTGTACATCATAGAATTTTCCCCCCGGGGGGAGGGGTACTTTACTAGTGCATTATTTTTTATATTTTTTTATACCTCTTATATTTGGTTTTTTAGGGAAAGTTAATTAAAAAGAGCATTATTACCTTATTTTCCTTATTTTCAGCTATTCTGCGCTCTTGGAAGGATTTCGATTGAAAATCGACTTTTCGAATGAATTTTAGTGCAAGGCCAATTGGATAAGAAAGCTAAGACATTGAAGATCATTGTGTCAAAGTTTCATAATTTTCTACTAAGCCAAATGCTCCAAACTTGCAAGTCAAGACAGCCTAAGCAAAATCCGATCAGAACTGCTGTAGATGATTGAAGAGTTGAACACTTTTCCGATTTTTTCTAGTGGCGTGTGATATATGCTTGGAAATCTTAGAGATCAAGCTACAGTTCTCATATTTTTCCAAAATTTTCTAGAAAGTGGAAAGACCCAAAAATGTGAGTGAAAGTTGGCTGACGTGTTTCCAAGTCATAGAATGATTCTTTCCTACCTTGTTTTCTTACATTGAAATGGATTTTGTTTTGCTTTACGAGAGTTTTTCCAAGCCTTTTTAGAGTAGGGTTTCGTTGTTTTACACTATAAAAGGCCACTCTAAGCTTTCTCTAAGGGGACCATCTTCATACCATATACTTTTTCACCATATTTCAATACACCCACAAATATATCAGAGAGAGAGCCAAGAGTTGCTGCCGCTGTGCTTTTGGAGCTTATGAAGGTGTTGCTGTGGAGAATCCAAAGATCAAATTCATCTGCCTAATTGGTTTTATGACAACAATTAATACTTAATTTTTATAGTTATATTAAATTCTTATTACTAATCCATGTTGAGTATTTGTTACTGTTCTTAATGCTTTGAATATCTAGCCAGTATTTAATAGATTTGATTATCCAAGCAGAGATCAAGAGGTGATGTTTGGTGTTTTCTTCTCATAACAAATACCATGTCTTGAATGTGTGCCCGAGAGGAACTAACATGACTCATGCAATTTTCTTGCAGGTTCTCATAGAACTTAATGGGTTCTTGATTTTCTAAATCCGTTGCTTGAGAGAGAATGGGTTGTTAATTAAGAATACTTTTGGTTGAGCTCGAGAGGGGATATCGAATGAATTAGGAGAAACCAATTGTCAAGATGGGTAATAATTAGGGTTAATTGGTTATGGTGAAATCGGATGGTCTAGTGTCTCATCAACTTGATTTTCCATTGTTAATTAAATTGTTATTTTTCATATTTGTTTTAATTTAATTTAATAAATCAATCACTCTCATTAATCAATTGTTCAAATAAACTTATGAATTAATCATAATTGGTACTTAAAAGGAAATTACAGTTTTCGTGGGAACGACACTTCACTTATCTTTATATTACTTATGCGGATTATGCACTTACAATAATTTCACAGCAAAAGCCTAGTTCTTTTAACTTATTTTGGGCCTTACTATGCTACTTTTTTTCTTCTTTTAATATATATATTTTACACTAGATAATGGGGGAGGGGAATATATATAAGAGGGTTCCTAGGGATACTCAGTAAAGGGATCGAACCCGAGTGGTGCACTGGGAGGTAGGGTGGGCACTGGGAGGGTGAGAATATATATTCATTATCATAGCCTTAACTACCCATGATACCGTTTTGATAGTTTTTTTTTTTGGTTGCTAAAGTTAGAAAGGAGATGGGGGTTTTCTCATACACACAACCAAGGTGTCATTAGGATTCAAACTTGAGATCACTTATCTACAAGTCAATGTCATTTTCCACTAGCCTAAACCCCATTGGCCATTTTGATAGTCTAATAAGACATCACTTGTTGGTAAGTCTTGAAGCAAAAACAGGCGTTCATATTTTCTCTCCAAACTGAAAGATTATGATCTGCCCTTAGTAATGAGGATGACATTAATTAATCTATGACTATACTTTGATTAGTATTTCATGATCTACCAATATGCAACTCATGCACTAAAACATTGAAGATCATGTGCATCTATATGCAAGTGTGTTCAAGGGGTTCATGCAAAACTCAATTTAAAATGATGAAAAAGAAATTGAGTCAGAAAATTAAAGGCATATATATATAAATACCGAAATTCATTCTAACATGACACAAAAGAAGCAAAAATATTTGTGCGATTTAAAAAACCTCAGTAGCTGAGCCTTTCCAAGAGAGAAGTAGCCATCTGCAAAACAAGGGAGAAACAAGATTAGTGATTTCGGTCAGGCGATTCGGGCAGCAGGTTTCCTTCAGAATCATAATCAATTTTCCCGGAAAAATTCAGTGGAGCACAACGTTCTCCCATAATTATGCTTTTCCTCCAAACTGCTTCATCACTATGATCATCATCATCATCATCATCTTTTTGATCTTCTTCTCCTGCCTCCATCTTCCTCCAAGAAACCATCTTCGCCATCGCCAGAGCTTTGCTGCTAATCTTGCTGTTTAACTTGGCAATGAACTTTACATCTTTCGACTCGGAGTTTGTGGTCGCTTCCTCCTTTTTCTCGTGTGATTTTTTACTCTTGTGGGAAGCACAGAGAAATATTAAGAGAGAAAACATGGAGAAAAATACAATGAGGGCGAAGAGAAAATCTGATGGGTGTTGAAACAAGTGGTGAGAGGCCATGGAGAAGCTTGTAGCAAGAGGCCTTGCCATGGCTACAAGGAGGAGAGGAGGGATGGATGAGGAAACAAAATTGGAGTTTAATTTATGATTTGCATGAGCTCTTAAAGAGTCGCAGAAAGTGATGAATATTAATACATATCCTTTGAGCCTCTTGAAGGTATTTCTCATATCTACAACTATGGGGTGAGTCATTCTATAGTGACGTGGCATCCTCCTGTTGCGCCGCTGACAAAGTGGGGGCCATCCGGGTTCACCGTGTTACACAAGGCTACATGGACTTGACCGATTGACTTAGAGTCGTCTTTACAAGTTTTTGGAGCCATTGGCCTCTTTTGCATCCACAAGTTCTTTTTTGAGATATTTAATTATATACTCATTCTTAGCACCAGTAATATGGATAAATTCTACACTATTTAATTTTTATATACAAACCCAAAAAATGATAGCTAGCCTATTTAATTTAATTTTGATTATTAAATTACTTTGATACTATATTGAGTGTTTTGGATTTTTTTATGAGGTTTTGGGATTAAGAAATCGATGTCAGTTTTGTAATTTATAGGAAGTTTAAAGCTTCTTTGTTATGTTGTAAATGGGCGTTTGGTGTGTTTCTAAAGTCCATTTCTTTGTTGAGCGTTAGTCCCGTTTCTTTACCAAAAAAGAAAAGTCCATTTTATGTGCGGTTTTTTTTATAATCCCTTTATTAGGTATAATAGTAAACCTTCCCCTTTTTTTTTCCTTTCTTTCTGTTTATTTTTTTTCCATTTTATGTGCGGTCCATATATAGATACCCTTTTTCTTTTTCCTAGGCCTTACTTTGCTTGGTTTGAATAGGAAGGAAGAAATTGGAGAGACTTCTAAGCAAAACCATATACTCTTACCAAATAAAAATATTGAAAGGAATAGTGGTGGGCCTATATGTACATATGCAACATGTTAATTATATATAACAGTCCCGTTCTCCTGGACCCTGTGGTCCAAGAAAACTGTGGTCAACCACCCTTAGATGTTGAGAGAAAAAACTGATTTAAAAATTATAATTGTATCATCAAAACACTATTTTGATTATTAAAAATAAGTTTTTTTTAAAAAAAAAAACCAAACAACCACAACCATCCTCCGATTGAAAAAAGGCAGAACTTTCCACCACCGGGAGATCAATTTCCACCATCTCCTTCATACAACGGAGCAGATCAACCTCCACCTCCGCCTTTAGAAAATTCTAAATAAAATCTTTAAAAACAAGATCTCTATAATAAATAAAAAAAGGCACCCCCACACCAAATCTCCCCATTCCTTGTTCCAGAAGCACATCAACTCGCCCCTCTCTATGTGTTTGTCTCCATGAGACTCTCTGTCATGTGGATGGGTGTGGTGAGAAGAAAGACCAGTACATCTAGCCACCCACCCAACAGCGAATTGCTTGTTGTATCTCGCCCCTCCTCTCGACCAGATTGCCGCTAATGACCAGATTCTCTGGTCGGGTCCTTCATCTTCACCATTCAAATGGGTCAGTTTTCGGATCCTGTTGAGGCCATCGAGCTCACTTCCCCGAGTTTGTTGTAATTTCAACCGGAGTTGGGTGGCTGTGAACGTCGATGGATGCAAGGGCATGTTCTTCGTTTTCTCCAGAGAGCGTGTTTTGCTTTCTTTTACTTTTTTAATTTTAATTTTTGTTAAATAAAATTAATATAAAATGATAACATATTGATTTTTAAATTAGATCTAATGGTGCGTGACCACAGTTTCCTTGGACTATAAGGGTCCAAGAGAACGGGACTGTTATATATAATTTATGTTATTATCAGATGATTTGATTATAGTTAGGGATGGCAAAAATCCATGTGGGAGCGACTAATGAGAGAATCTCCGAACTTGAAAAATTCCTGACGGGTATGAAAAGGGGATAATATTGCCGTCCCCATCCCCGAATCCGACCCGAAAATATATATGTTTATATTTAAATAAATAATGACCAAAGATAATTTAGTGTAGGCCACAATGTTGGGTTGGGGTGGGACCTGAGTTGCAAGACCAAAAAAGCCCATAGCAGATGTTGGCTTATTATGTAAAAAGAATTCCTAAAGAAGCTGCAGGTCAGTTACCATTTGTTCTTACATTCGTAATTTACGGAAAATTCCAACAAAGTACAACTAGGATAGGCAGTGGCGGATCCACATAGGGGCAAGAGGGGTCAATTGACCCCTGCAAACCCAGAAGCTACCATAGGAGGCCAAGAACTTGACCCCTGAAAATTGCCCAGAAGGTGTTTGATGAAATGCCACAAAGAGGAAGCAGCCACAGCACCACAGGCAGCAAGCAGCACGCAGAGCTCAACAGCGTCGCCTCTTTTTTCTCCCTACGTCAAAACGACGTCGTTCCACTTAAGAGTTTTTTTATAAAAAAAAAAAAAAAAAACCCTTGCCAAAACGACGTCGTTTTGGCTAAGGTGTTTTTAAAAAGAAATTAATCTGCTGCCCGATAAAACCTACGAGTGCAGCTTGGAGAGGTACAGGTTTCTCTCTCCTCCCTCTCTTTCTTTTTTATTGCTTTTCCTTCTCTCTTTTTATTTTTTCTTTTCTTTCCCTCTTCTCCCTTCTCCTCTTTGATGAAAAACCCTTTTTTATAATATTCATAATATTTTTCTTTATTTTCCTTATTTTATAATTAATACTCACAAATTCCTCAAATCTTGAGTGACAACTTCGTCTATAAAAGAAAATAAGAGGAAAACACAAAATAACAACTCAGGGGAAAAAAAAACTTGAAGAAAAATCCACCAATTTTCTTACCATGACTTATTTTAATCTAAAAAAAAATCAAAATGAAGCTCCCTTCGATTCTTGAAAGCTCATCAGATTTGAATTTATCTCTTGCTCCTCCTTTTTAACCCAGGAAACATCACTCGTAGGGTATCACATATTTTTGTCCTACAGCCGCAATATTTATAAATTTTCTTAGTGTCGTAATAAATTTAAAGTTGCTTACTCTATGCGTTGAATCTTTGTAAGATTGTTTAATAATAATATGGTCTTAAATTTTTGTAGATTGGTTAATGCATTCTAGATTTGTCTAAAAAAATTTGTGAGCTTTTATACATTGATCCCCGAAGAGGAAATTCCTGGAGCTTTTATACATTGACCCCCGAAGAGGAAATTCCTGGATCCGCCACTGAGGATAGGAGGATCTTATTTCCAACCCCAACTAAGTTGTATTGGTCGGTCAAGGCAGTGAGTCTGCCCCTTTTGCAGACAAATTCAAATCCCCCATCCAGAAAATTAAATTAATTTAGAGTAATTTAAACCATAGCTTGTAGTATACGTTGATATATTGCTGGTAAGGAATGACAGAAAACAGATAATAGATAGAGAGCTAGAATTCAGAACTAAACGATGAGTATCAATACAGATTAGGAAATAAACTGTGCTGTTATTAATGATAAGCAGATTGAAACTGCAGACATAGACAAAGCTTATACATATTACTAGTAAGCTTTTACACACACAAATTAAGATTAACCAAAAAAACTTTGATTAATTTTTGCATCAAATTGGAATGGCTCTAGAGACCTTCGGATAAACAACAGTGGCCGGATGAGCCATGATTCTTCTCCCCTTGACGTGCTTGAACAAGTAAACAAAAGCCCCAACAGGCCATTCAACAATGGCAGCTGCGAGAAAGGCTACACACCCTAGGGTAGGCCCCAGCACCTTGCACCTACATGGGTTGCTACGTGTGCCGCACTGCACACATCCCATTCCACCGGTCATAATGACGATGTGCTGCTGGGAATCTGATGATCAATGGAAACTCAAAGCAGCGATCGATCGATCAAAAGATTTTAGGGAATGGCTGTTTGTTCGTGTTTGAATGGAGCTGGGGGAGCTTGGTTTTTATAGGGATATAAATTTCTTGAGCAGTTTGAAATAATTCCAACTGTGGAAAGCATATTTTTATAAGCATTGGTAGGGTTGATGAGAGAGGAATATATAAATACGTGTTATGTTTAGCAAAGGCATGGGCGACACGTGTCCTCTTTTCGGACAGGTGTTTTGATTTCTTAGTTTGTTACGTCGGTGCTGGCACTTATCCAGCTTGGTCCAATCAAAACATGACACCAATCGTTAATCGTACATGGAACTATTTTCGATCTTTAATTTGCTCTTTCCAATCGTTTACTCTCTTTTACTTTTAGCATCGATGCTTGGTTTTGGTGGGGCCCTCTAGTGGGATTTTTTCAAAATATCTACTCCCTCTCTACTGTGCCTTTGTCGACTTGGGAGGGTTCTTGGGCTCATCCAATCGGGCTTTATGGAATTGGGTTTCAACAGCCGACATATCTCGGGTTGAGTCGCTTATCATTTGGGATTCAAACACGTCATTTCGGATGTATAGATAATTGTTCTTAACAACTTCAGCAATAAGCTCAATGCCAATATACGTGCTTTTTTCGTCCCAAGTTTTAATTTAGGGTTAAACGATGGAGCTGATTTTCCAACTCCTCTTTTCTCCACTACCTTTACCCTAGATTAATTTCTTAGCTCTTGGGAAATGTGTCTGCTCTTGTATGGTTGAATTTTCTTAGCCACCAAACATGTTTTTTTTGGCAACTCGTGTTGTATTAAATCTTCTTTTGTATTTGTTACTAAAGTTGTGATTTTAATTTGAGCTATTGAGTAAATGAAGATTTTGTTCAATTTAGTTACTCTTTCTTTGTTTTTTGTTTATTTGTGGCCATATTGGCTATCTATGTATTTTATTGTCTTTTGCATTAAAATTTGTTTCCTTTTCAAGAAAAAAAAACATATGGTTGCAAGGTTTATTCATGGAGCATGAGTTTTTGCAGCAAGTGCACCATATAATTTTGCATAGAAAAGTATATAGTGTTAATTATTTCTTACTCGATTAGTGCATTACATTGCTAAAGCTCCAAGAAAAAGACAATGTTTAAAAAAGTGAAGTAAAAAGAAATTAATGCAAAGTAAGGATATAATAGGAAATAGAAAGAACAAAGAACAAAATTTATTATTAAAAAATATTAAAAAGTAAAAGGGAGTATAAATGGAGAAAAGAGGAGTGGAAAAATCAGCTCCCTTAAATAATTAACTAATTAAATGGGAACACTTGACACATTATGGTTGTACCAATTGACCAACTATATAGAATTCCCTCTTAGTCATCAAGTAGGTTAAAGAATTCTTGAATCCTATATACAAGAGGTTGATCACTACATTGCTTATAAGAATAATCTGAATTACAAGATAGATTGAGTATATATACTCAGAAGACTAAAGCTAACACAGATAACTGCATTGCTTAACAACTAAGCAACCCCCTTAACCATTGACTAACTACTTAATAGAACAACTGACTGGCACATGAGTAGCATGAGAACAAATGGTCTACACTTGAAGTTGCCGACCTCTAATTTTAGCTCTCCCTGTTTAGCCTAGCCGGCGCAGGGGAGGGAGGAGGAAAGACGTCGACGACCGCACTTTTATTATAGTGTGACATCTACAATTGAAGATTCCGGCCTGTACTTTTAGCACTGCTCGTTTATACCCTTTGCCATTCAAATATACTTCACAATTTGTTTGGTGTTAATGGTGATGAAATGCATAAAACTCTAGCCTTTGAAAACTGAAAGTGGTTTGGCTGTCCTAGACATGTGACGGCATCTAGTTTTCATTCTGGTAAAAAAAAATTCTACTTTTTTTTTTTCTTTCAATTCTGCATTGCTTAAAAAGAAACAAAAAAAAGCTAGAGGCATTGGCTTTTCAATCGATCTTTTGCCAGGGCATATGATTCCATTCTTTGTTAATGAAATGTAACCATAGCCTGAGAGTGCTGCTTTTGGAATCCACTTTCAATGCTTAGCATATTGGAATGCGATCTTGATCAAAACTTCACTACAAACTTTTTGGCAGATGGAACATATATTGTGAAACATTATATATAATTACAATAACGCTATTTGTACTACCTTTATTGACCACCTCTCTAATATAGAGGTGGATCCCATCAATGTATGCGAGACCCCCCTGTATTAGAGAATGGGTCAGCAATGTGGTCAGTAAATGCGGTACAAATAACAATGTCCATATAATAATTGGTTAAATTATTGAAAGTGGCAAAAGTGGAAGAATAATGCCATTGCCAGCCACAGACTTTATTCTAAGGGGAAGCATTCTTGCTGGAGAGATGTATAAAGCAATCTTAACTATCAAAATGCCTAAAGTAAGTTAATATATGCTTGAAAAATCCCTAAAGTAAGTTAATTTGAATGTCCCCTTTAAGCAGAGCATGCTAATTAAGTTACTTGGATTTGTTAATTAATTCGTCAGATTAATTATGTACCCATATTTAATTAATTGTAGAGCTAATGATTGGAAACACTTGCTAATTCATCCATTTGTTTAAATTAAATTAAATTACGTATGTGAATGATTGAAAAGGTAGTTGTTGACATAATAAATAAAGGCACCTCATGCATTTACAGCATCCACATGCAATTCGCTTTCAAAACATTTCAACACAACATCTAAAGCGGCTCACAATATGAAGTCTCTCTCTTCCTTCAAACTATATGTTCCCCGAAATAACTAGAATTACCTAACCGCATGACCTCTCTCTTTATACCCTTTCATGCAACTAAACGTAAGCCACAAGCACCCATGTTAGGTATAGCTCAATCAGTTGAACTCTTCCACCTCCACTTATACGAGCGGAGGTTCGAAGCCCAATCAAATAAAACAAACGTAAGCCACAATCACAACATACAGAAGCACCCCTAAACAAATTCCCACACATTCCTTTCCCTACCCACCACTCTCTCTCTCTCTCTTTCTCTCTCAAACTCCAGTCCTTACATTCCTTTCCCCACCCACTACTCTCTCTCTCTCTCTCTCAAACCCCAGCTGTATTTTCACTCAATCTTGCCGGAAGTTAATGGCATTGCATCCACATCAAACACTTGTTTTCATCATGATTTTGATTTGGTCTTCAAACAGTGTCATGACCACTTCTGATCATGAAAACCAAAATGATCATCATCAACAAACACTGGTATCTCAGAAGCAAGAAGTTGATACGGGAATAAAATGCGGATCATGCCCTTGTGTGAACCCATGTGAGCAGCAGCAGCTGCCTCCACCGCCGCCTCCTTCTCCTCCTCCTCCTCCTCCTCCAAAGGCTCCAACAACAACAAGTCAAGATTGCACGCCAAACCCATATGTCACGCCAAACCCATATGTACCGCCACCTCCTCCAAGGTTTGTTTATGTGACAGGTCTGCCAGGGGATGTGTATCAGTACCAAACAGATGCGTATGCATATTACTCAGCTGCTCCACGTCATCTCTATAACTTGGGGCTGCTGCTTTTGGTGACATTAATTTGGCCAGGGTTTCAATATATATTACTTCTGTAAGTGCTTATGATATGAAGGCTGGCTAATTCGATCCAATCATATATTAATTAGGTCTGTTGTTAGAGATTATGCTGTTATTAGTAACTACTGTTGATCTAATTCTCTTGTCTTGTTCATTTCTATATATCTTCTATTCCGCTTCTACTGCCCAATTTAATAATTAATTTTTTTTTTCTCAATTACTGTTTACTGTTAATTTTGGGAGTTTTTAATTACTGCCCCTCCAACTTCCTATCTTTAGATTAAACATTTATTGGTAGAACTTGTTTATCTTTAGATAACTAATTAATGTGTTTGTTTTTTAATAAAACGCTTTGTAATTTAAAAGATTACTTTATAGTATTTTATTTTCATGATAATAAATTGTGGTTTATTGGAAATTAGACAAGTATAATATTTTTTAGGATTTGAATATTTCGTCAAACTTCCCTACTCCCTTGAAAATCGTTATCTCATTCCTTTTTTTTTTTTTTTAATAAAAATTTATTAATTTAGACACATTAATTAGTTATCCCACTTCAACTTTTCTAGCTATATTGCATGTTGACTGCTTTTCTGTCTAGTCTAAGCTTTTATTAAAGAGTTATTTACACTAACACTCATGAGTTTTTTAGTTTTTTCACAAAATCTATTGAGGTTTTAAATTATTTTCACAAAAACCCCTTTTCGTTGAGTGTTCGTCCAAAAATTGATGATTTTATATATAAAAAACTTATGCAAATGACAAATTAAACTCTATGAATGTATGTGTAATCTAATCTCAAAGGCTAACTTTGTCATTTAGATAATTTTTTTTGGGGGCTGATTTTCCCACTCCTCTTTTGTCCACTTACACTTCCTTTGTATGTTATAGTAAAAAGTATTAAAAATCAAAATGGAGTGTAAGTGAACAAAAGGGGAGTGGGAAAATTATCACCTTTTTTTATATATAAAATCATTATTTTTTGGGTAAACTGCCGAATTCCCCCCTGAACTTGTACATAACTATCAATTTACCCCATGACCTTTTTTTTTAGTGAATTAAGGGCTCGAATTAAATTTTATTATCAATGTTCCCCCTGCCATCTAAATCATCAACATTTCATCCAATTTGCTGTTAAATATGAGGGCAAATTGGTCATTTCATATATTAAAAATAATTAAATACTGTAAAATAAAATAATATGACATATAAAATGAAAAAAAAAATCATTTTAATAAATAGAGCAACCTCCCCTGCGTATAAACCCTACAAACCCAGCCCCCAATCGCCTCCCCACCCACACAGCTCCACCTTGATCTCCCCCACCTGCGCACCTCCCGAACCCTCAAACCCAGTAGCCCTGACCCACCTCACAAAACCTCTTTGATTAGGGAGCTAAGAAGAAATCGATGGTGGGAATTGAGAGAAGGGAGAGAGGATGAGGAAATGAAATTGAGAGAGAGAGAGAGAGGGGTGGGGCTGCTGAAATTTCTAGAGAAAATTTTCAAGTTCTAGGTGTGTGTTGTGGGTTGGGTGATTGGGTGGGGG